ACGCTCAGGCTGAGCATCACCTCCCTGCAGCCTGGCAGCCCTTCTCAAAAGGGGGTTGGAATTACAACGGATTATATAGTGCAAACTCGTATCAGTTCCCACAGATATAAAACGCAGAGACAGGAGTCCGGAACAAAAGCCGCCACCGGGCAGGGTTGTGAGGAGCACCAGCCACTAAGGAAATAAACTCCAGGGAGCGGAGTCTGATCTCAGCTACTCCCGAGTGAGCCTGGAGTAACTCCAGTTCTTCCTTGAGTTTTCAGTGAACCCACACAGGTGTAGCTGATACCAGGGCCTGAATCGGTTCGGTGGTGAGGCACCAAATTAAAGTGGAGGGTTCGTTAAATGACAGCTTTTCAGATCTAATGCAAAAATTATCAGTAGCGGAATTCATTAACTGTGATCGGGACAGGAGAAATACCCAGCAATGGGTGGGTACATTTTACACAGCATTTCTCAAGGATTCACTTCAGCAGGTCCATAAGGTTTAAAGAAGGCTCTGGCTTAGCCTGGTCTGAGTCCGTTTTCATCAGGGTTCTTGCTGCCACCCCATGTAAACTGTTGAAAAAATACACTGACTGCCTAGAAAACAAACTGTGCATTATGTATACAGTATATCCATGCAAGTGTGGGCCTTGTATGTATACACAACCAAGATCCCAACACTCAGCACAAAACAGGAGCAGCATCATGGCCTTTTTAATAATATAGCTTCATGGTGAGTTTACTACACCCATGTTACTGACAAAAGGCAAGCCCAAGGGCAGGGAAACATTCATGCCCCTGGTATTTCAAGGTAGATATGTCATGTGTGATCTGAAAAAATACCAGCTTTCTCAGGATAGTCCAGTCTCTCAAAAGAGAGCCCTATCTGAGTTAGAAATAGATTTGTTGTTTTTTACTTCTGTAATTGAGATCAACAGAACAAATCACATTGATTTCAATGTTGAAAGAAATGCCACGGCAGCCAGTTGACAGAAAACTGTCAAATGTATTTTCTTAACAGTTTGTTACCTTTCAGGGGACACAAGCTAGCAGGCAGAAGAACTTCAGCAGGCATTTCCCTCTCCCCCTTTTATAAAACACACACTTTCTGAGAAATACGAGTGTCACCAAGAGCCAGCAGAAGGCATGACACTAGCAACCGGGTCTGCAAAGGCAGAGGAACACTGAAGGATCAAGTCATGTGCAGCTGACAGAGGATGGTAAAGTTCTAGCAGTCTCAAAAGGTGGCTCATATTTCAAGGGTATGAACTGCTGATTGGTGTCCCGTTTTCCTTTCTTAAAACAAAAACTTACACCATATATATTCTGCAAGATTATCTAGACTTTTTCCACACTGGGATTTGTTAGCCTGCAAAGTATAGGCATTTATCCCAAGAACTGGCAAAAAAGGGGGTATTGTTTGGTAGGTATGGCACCAAAAGAAAACCATTGTGCTTTCTCACATACATATGCTGTACAGATGGAGGCTCAAACAGACAGATTTTTAAGTTGTTGGAGGGCTGTGTTTTTTCTTCTTGCTTCGGCAAGATTTGCAAATGCAGCAGATGATGCATGGAGATGCCACGAGCAGCAGTGGAGAGGTGACTAATGCTATGATACCTAGTCCAACGAGGATCCCCACAACCTGAAAGACATGGTGGGGAAAAGTATGGAATTATCTAACATGGAAAATAAAATACACGTGTGCATGCATAAGCATAGGATAGGTCACAAAAATAAGATTAAAACATGAACACAATCATCCTGGTCCTTCACTGAAGAGTAAAAACTCTTTGCTTCATGCATGCATGACAGCTCTGCTCAGCTGACTAGGAACACACCTGTGTTCTGTTCCACATCACTGAAGCCCTCGAGTGGCCCAGCTTGTTTCTGCAAGGGCCTCTGTCATAATGTCTTAAGAAGATATCGTTCTGAAAAACAAAAGAAGTTGTAAGAGCAGGTTACAATACTGTGGGAAGAGGTTCAAGACTGAAATGGAAATAAAACTTTCCTGACACTGCTTTAAAATTACCAGCTGCCATTCACCTGTCTTCCAAATAATTATCTAGAGAAACTTGTTGCAGTTTCAAAAAGTGTGGTGTGTTCGGGACCCAAGTGTCTTTCCTCCCCCACTTCTAAAAAGCATGAGCATATGCACTGCACCTATTGGACAACTACCTACTCTGTAATTTGGTGATGATAAAGGGGCCTGTAAACAACAGATATTTCTGAAAGCTAGAAATCTGAGGGATCATATTCTGAGATACTTTTGCCTTCTGTTCTGCTGCTGTTCCTGCACTTCAGAGTATTTTTTTCCTAGGCTTAATAGGAAAATTTATAAAGTAGGAAATCCGTGTTTCTTTTCTCCTTTCCCAGTAATACTTAATAAATTACCCACTTTATCTTCAGAACTTGACTAACACCCTGCATTGCCCTCCCCTGTGCTGTAACCTGCCACTGCTTCCTCTTTCATTTTTCAGCCTTACTCTTGGGCTCTACAGGTATCATCTTCACCTACACCTAGAGCTCCTGTAACCCTGCCCATCTAGAAAAACTGCATTTGAATCACATATCTACAGTTACTTTTTTCTCTCTCCTTTGAAGACATGAAAACTGTGAGAAACTGAAAGTCTTCCAGTTCAGCACAGTGTTGAGCAATCACTGTGTACTGCGTGTACTCTTGAGGCAAGCCATGAGACTCATGTTGAAAAAGCAGCTCAGACACAGAAATGGGACAGAAGGGTAAGCTAAACCTGTTTAGCATGCTGAAAAAGAGGAAGGATAAAGAATGAGGAAGTTTCATTGTTTGCTAGATGAGGAGTATAAAAGAGAAGAAAAGGAAAGCCATGCAGCATCTAACATCTTATTTCAAGTGCTGATGAAGTTATTTTCACACTCCCACAGCTGCTACTGATGATTATGCCAAAAAGGGAAGCTGTCACATACACAAGCACATTACTTTCTTGAAGTCCACACAAGTTGAGACTAGTTGGTATCACTTGAGAAATAACTAGCAACCTGCACTTCATAATCCAACATTTTTATCCTTAAGCCTACTAACTAATCCTTCACTTCAGCAAACATGAAACTAGAGTAGGCTAGTAAAGAGACCTAGTCCATGTGAGCTCTTAATGCACCTGCCACTGAAACAACCCGCTTCACCCAGTATCACACCATTTTTTGGACAGGCTGTGACCCTTGGAGTTGGAGCAGGTGGAAGACGCTTTCTTTCTGGCTCTCAACCAGTTTTTAGCTACTACACTGAAAGAGGGAATCAAAGAAAGGTAGTGCTGGAATGGACCCCCACAAAGCATGCAGTCTGTCCCATTTCCCTCAAAGAACTACAATGAGAGTCTCAGACATTGCTAGAATCCTTTATGGGAAAAAAAATGGATGTTGATATAAAACAAACAACCAACAAAACGCAATACTGGATGAAGAAGAAAGAAAGTTAGAAGCTAAATTGAGCCAAGACATTCACTAGGATATTAATGAGTTGCTAAATTGTACGGGGCCTCAGATTAACCACAACCCCATTACCCTTTATCTAGGTGTTTTCTTCTGCAGCACTTACGTCCAAGTTCTGTAGACAGTACCAGCAGAACGTGTGCTTGCAGTTCTTGCACATCATCTGAGCACAGCCCTCGTTTCGCTCAATATAGATCCGACAAACTGGGCACTGCTTAATTGGTGCCTCCATTCCAATAAGTGATCTAAAAGGGTAAGAAAACATTAAAGTGAAATGAGAATGTAATTACTGTTGGTATTCAATTCCACTGCCTAATGTGTACTGTGCTTATTTTTTCAGAGCATCTGAATCTGTTGTCTTAATGTCCTTAATGTGTGAAGCTTGTCATAATCAGTACAATACACTGAAGTATACTCACTACAAGGTGTAAGATTATTAATGTCATGTAGAAGTGAAACTCCATTCCCTTGGTGTTTTATGGTCTGAAACCAACACCCACTGAAAATATATCACCTATAGCATTAAAAATTAGCTCTTTGTAAAACAGCTTGCACCATTCATTTAACAGGATTAGATTATGCAGCTCATAGCACTGTCTCTGAACAAAATAACCTTAAACTCCACCAAAGCCAAAGATAAAACCCGGAGAAGAAAATTTATGGTGAGAGCTCTTTGGTAACTCCTTTGGTAACTTTCATCTTTCAATGAAGTCTTGAGCAAGCAGAACCTCAGATTGTAAGTAAGACTTCAATTTCTTGCAAAATATTATAGAAAACTTTGCACAGACATGACTGAACATAATCTGAAAACAAAGACGGATGGTGACAAACATTATATAATTTAAACACAAAAGCATTTTCTTTCTGTAGATGATTACCTTATGTAACCTCATCTGTAGGTTGCTTACACCTATGTTATATGAGCATACAGCAGATTTCTCACAGCAAATGGGACATTTTACACCCACTCTGCATAAAAGTTAAGAGTCCTTGATGTAAAGATTCTATAAATATTAAGTGGCGCTGATTTAATCACAGTATAGACAAAGTTTCAAACCCCAATATCAGTATACTGGGTTTTTTGAATGGACACAAGTCACAATTATAGCATGCCTTTTGGCAGACTTAAAGCCCTGTGTGGCTTCACCTTTCAGAAGTGTCAGTGGCATCCCAAGTTTGCTAAGTACCCAAATAATCTAAAGATTTGTGAGGCACAGACGTAGCACCTCATGCCAAAAAGAACCAAAAGGCCATGTGGCCTCCTTCTTACCCCTGCTCAGTTGGTACTGAAGTGATTTGGTTGTCCTGGCACGGGTGCTGTGGGTGCCATGCATCCTTGCAGAAGGAGCAGAAGGTCAGGTAGCAAGCTGGGCACTCCACCGGCACCGGTGCTCCTGACTCGCTCGCGGCCACAAGGCACACTGTTTGGCAGTCGGCTGCAGGGCACCACGTTCTGAGGGGGTCCAAGTGGACCTCTGAAACATAGCAGAGAGAGGAAAATAAACATGTGTATGCAGCTCCTGTCTCATTCCAGCAACACGCGTCTAGGTCAGCAAGACCCGTCTCTGTGCGTGCACCCCTGCCCATGGGGAGTCTAATCCTCTTCTTTTGTCAGGTCTGCAACTGTGCTTTGTAAAGGCAGATGCACTGGAAGCATCACAGAAATGGTGATACACAACATGGGATGTATTCTTTGCCTTTATAGGGAGGTACAAGGACAAACCTAACTTCTATATCTTTCATGTGTGCAAGCCATGCAGTATTTTTCATGTAAGTAGTAGAGGGACTATCATTAAATTAATGACAAATAATTTTCCATGCCTTATTTCCTCCCCTCTGTCTACAAACCCCAATTAATAGTCACGCTATTATATGATCATTATTTGTCAGACAACAGATTACAACAATAGCCAAAGCAAGATTAAGGTTGGAGACCTCAAGTTACAGACATCACTGCATGGCAGTGAATTATAAATGTTGATTCTTCTTCTCACTCCCCAACCTTTATTCAAGGAACTTGGGCCTGCAACAGAAACCTGTTTACTGTTAGGGGTGACTGTTGTGTGTGCAGAATGATAAATGTTGATTCTTCTCACTCCCCAACCTTTATTCAAGGAACTTGGGCCTGCAACAGAAACCTGTTTACTGTTAGGGGTGACTGTTGTGTGTGCAGAATGATAAATGTTGATTCTTCTCACTCCCCAACCTTTATTCAAGGAACTTGGGCCTGCAACAGAAACCTGTTTACTGTTAGGGGTGACTGTTGTGTGTGCACTTTATATTGGCTCAAATCCATGAGGTGCAGCCAAACGCTCCCACCCTGCAGAGCCTCCCTAGAAAAGGGCTGTCATACCTGCATGAGCTACCTACATCTCCTCCTTCCCTGGGAGCTCTCTAGTACCACCACTGAAAATAAACAGATGGAGGGGATGTCTCAGGAGCAGGTGGAAATGCCTGACTGTGAGATGTCAAAAGCCATTACAATGTTCTTCTGGACCTCCAGCAGATAAAATACTGTCCCACTTGGAACACAAGGCTGCACAAGGGCCCTTTACTTATGTTTTTTGGTAAATTTTGCTGAAACAGGTGAAGGCACTTCCTCCTATGCACATGCCCCTGACTGTAATGCTCCTCTGCTGGAGGCTGCTGGTAGCCCACAGTTAAATGGGCTGGTGGATGGATATCTAGCAGATGTTCCAGTCAGCATGAAAAACAGTGGTATCAGTTCAGTGTCCAGATATCCAGACACTAAAAACTGGACAACTAGAAATGTGTTCAGTGAAGTAAAACTTTCCCCTCTGAGCTCTCAAGCATTTAGATACACATGTATGAACACCTGGGAAGGACACCCCACAAACATCATGATCTAACATGCACTAGAAAATCAGTTCTGTTCCAGTATGTCAAACTTGTCTGTTCACCTCAAAAACGTCCAGTTTCTTTAAAGCCAACCCTCCTGTTTGTCTGGGACATTTACAATGAAGAATCACATAAGGATAATCATCTTCTCTGCTGGCTGCAGATACCCAATGCTCTGACCACAGGAGATTTTTAAGTCTGTGTCGGAGTGTTCTAGATCCATGACAAAGGCTGTCGTCTAGGACTTAGGCAGTGCCTGCAAAATACCTGTACCATCTACCTCCACCAACTTCATCAATCTAGTTGCCTTCTTTCTTCTTATTCTCTTACACATGCTTCCTTTGCCCCCCAAACCAAACATTTGCTTTCTACTGAATGAAAGACGGAACAAATTAGTTTTCAGCTTTGTTTTGGGGGAGAAGAAAGAGACATGAATGGGCAGTACAAGCCATTTTTCATTTTAATATACAATTTTAAAGTAGAGTCCTAGAAATTAATATTTCTGTAGCTTTTATTTGTGTCTCTTCAAAGTGGGCAAGACCATGGCCTAGTACTGGCTTTTGCACTGAAGTCTTCACACAGTAGGTTCTTTATTCTTTTTGTTGACAAACAGCAGTTAAAACAAGGTAAAGTGCAGTTTCTGCAGACAGCTGCTTAACACACTCAACTTTGGAAACCCAAATTCTCCTATCCTGTGTTTGGATGAAAGACAGGATGTCTGGTTTTGACATCACTGGGAGGAGGGGAGTTGGGCTGTAAAACTTAGTGATTCTTACGAATTTGTTGCAGCAAGATGCAGTGCATGAGATGAAACTCCCTCCGCTCCCACTTCCTCCATTTTACAAAGAACCTACAGATAGTGTTTTGCAATCCATGCTGTCTCATACTGTTTGGTTTACCACGGAGGACAAGTGAAACCAGAAAAAAAATAAAAAGGAGCAGCCAAAAAAAAAAGGAAAGAGGCTATCACATTGCTCTGAGAAGCTGCTCCATCTTCTGGTTAGGGCCATTTCCCTCCTGAGCCCTTCCCCTGCTTCCCCACAGCCAGCTCAACCACAATACCTCTACTATCAGGGGGAAAGTTTTCCCAAACAGTGCCAGTACTGGGCAGGGAGCTGGTGAATTTTCACAAAATGCACAAGCGATCAGGTGAGTTGTGGGAGACAGATGGGGGAAATGCAGTGCCCTGAAGAAAGTAGAATTTCTGGCTCAGGAGAGGTACTCACTGGAGAAATGAGACTACCTTTCACAGAATATTAGGAACATCTCCTTTTAAAACTGCACACTTTTAGGTCAGGCAAAAAATGGAGGTTCTCATCATCTACCACTGAGCCTATTGGGCAATTATCCCAGAAGCATAAATATAATGCATAAGTCCTAACCACATCCTATTCTTCTTTTTTGTTACTTCTAATGACCACATCAAACCCCATCCTAAATATACACAGAGCAATTCCTGTTTCTTCTGCTCAAATACACCACATGGAAATGGTGTGGCTAGGTCCTGACTGGATGCAGAGGAGCTACAGATATGTAGGAAAGCTTGGTTTTAAGCCTGAAAACACTTGCATTCTAAGAACACAAAAAAACCAAGAGGATAGAATATTTCCAGCACATTCCTCATTAAAATAAGCAAGTGTCTGTAGATACACAATGGTAGGCTGATCACTTCTCACTGCTTTTTCACCCAACAGTGAATTTTTTTTAAAAAAGGAAATGGAGAGGAAATCTATGTTATTAAAATAGCTAGCACAGATAGAAGATGGGGAAAATAGCTTTTGGATATGTAAGCCCTTCTTCAGGTCTTCAAAATTTTCCTCAAAATTCATTGTGCAATGGAAAGTGTCCGGATGGATGAGAAGAGCTGGTTTTACCAATCACTTGAAGACTAGTAAGCAAAGACTACAGTGCAAAAGCAAGTCTTTTGACTTACTCAAGGAGCTGGTTATTTATTTCTAGTAATTCTTGTAAAGCAAAGGGGTGCTGAAGCAAAGAACCCAAAAGTCAACAGAATAAAGCTGAGAGACGAAGGGTCTAAATACAAGAAGCTGAAGGGTTTGAATGAAGGGCTTTGTTGATCAGAGCAAAAGTTATGAAGGTGATCTTAGTACCTATTTTAGGAGTCAGAATTTGGCCTATTACACTTGCAAGCATAGAAAATTAGATGGTACAATGTCTGGAGAACTCATTGCTCCCTGTTTTTTCCCCTTACAATGCTGACTCCTTCTCCCCAGCTCCCTAGGGAGCCCCACTTAGCTCTTCCCCAGCACCTGGTCTGAATCAAAAACCTGAAAACTGTAAGAGGAGCTCGAAATATTTCATGTGTAAAGGTTTTCTTCATTTTAAATGAACACTGAAAGGCTGGTAAGGACCATGCTACTATTACACTGAACTGCAGTACTTCAGAATGTTCTCTGTCATTAACTAAACCAAAGGAACTCATGGCCCTCAGAAGATGTCCTTGGCAGGTGTTGCCAGGATAGGGTCAGGTCTGGGAACAGAGCTGGAGACCAGAAGTAGCTAATAAGCCAGGTCCAGCTGGTGAGGTCCAAAATAGTCAGCCTCGAGGGCAGTGATAAACCCAGGATAGGCAAAAACTCTTGGCTGGGGCTGGGATTAGTGCTGGTGTCCAGATCAGAGCTTGAGTTAGCAGGAAGCACTGCTCCCAGGCATCAGTAAACAAGATTTATTGCTGGGGCAAATAGGCAAGGCCAAAAGGCTAGGGTTTAAGCCTGCTACTTGGATACCAGTTTTCCTAATCATAAAGGAGAAAGGACAGATGGTAGAAACACTGTGAAGAGAGGCAGTAAAGGCAGAGGATTTGTTAGACCTATGCAGAAGAAAAAATGAAAGAAAAGGGAAGTAGAATTTAAAAAAAATAGACAAGTTTCAGGCTTCTGTGCGTGGGAGGCAGTAAAATAATAATTAAAAAAAAAAAAAGATGTATCAGGGATTTGGACAAAAGTTCATGAGTTCAGCTTTGGCTAGTTACAGAGGAGGAGATACCAGGAAATCATTAGTTTCACAGCCTTCAGCTAAAAAAACATTTTATGTAAAAAAGATTGATGTACTGAGAGAACATCTCTCTTTCCC